ACAAAAAGAGAAGCCCCCCCCCCCCAAGGGAGAATCTCTGTAAAGCATCTCCCGCATCCCCGATACGAGCTCCGGCCGGAAACCGGCACGGAGATATCTCGAGCCGAGAGTCGCTTCAAGACAGCCTACATAGCCCGATTGGAAAGACAACGTATAAGCTGCTCAAGGTCTCGAATCAAAACCGAGCTTCAGCACCCAATACCCATAGCGTGAGACTCAGACTATGCGCCTTCACCATCAAAATTGACTAAGTTCAACAACAGTTGAACTGGGACTCAGGCTATGCGCCTTCGCCATCAAAATTGACAAAGTTCAACAACAGTTGAACTGGGACTCAGGCTATGCGCCTTCGCCATCAAGATCGACAAAGTTCAACAACAGTTGAACTGGACTCGGGCTATGCGCCTTCGCCATCAAAATTGACAAAGTTCAACAACTGTTGAACTGGGACTCAGGCTATGCGCCTTCGCCATTAAATCAAGGCTATGCGCCTTCACCAGTAAGTTCAACTACGGTTGAACCAAGACTCAGGCTATGCGCCTTCGCCATCAAAATTGACAAAGTTCAACAACAGTTGAATTGGGACTCAGGCTATGCGCCTTCGCCATTAAATCAAGCCTATGCGCCTTCGCCAGTAAGTTTAGCTACGGTTGAACCAAGACTCAGGCTACGCGCCTTCGCCATCAAATCCAACGAGTTCGACCTCGCTTGAACCATGAGGCTAGATGCCTTCGTCCTCAAATCTAACAAGTTCAACCACAGTTGAACTGGGACTCGGACCAAGCGCCTTCATCATTGAACTCAGCAAAACCCAACCTCCAACGAATCGCGGCGCAGGTTAGGCACCCTCGCCATTCAAGTAAGTACTCCCAGCTCGAACTAAGATTAGGGACGCGTAAAGTCCGAGCCCGGTCAAACTACAAGGCCGCATTTTTTATCATCACGGTCGATAGTTCGACCGCGCCCGAACTGGGACTATGGCTAAAGGCTGAGTGCCGCTATCGCCAAGCAACGGCTCCGACTCGCTCACCCCGAGTCGAAGAAGAAAAGTCGTCAACAATCAAAAACTAACATGCCTACCAGAGTCAAACGCGAAGGCAAATCACCCCTTCGAACGCATCCAAAGAAAAATCTAAAAGGGAAAAAGGGAAGGTACAAAGCAGATACAAGGCAAATAACGGAAAGGAGATCTCATTTATCCACGAAATTAATTGCTAGTCATCCCCGCTTACACTCGGCCAAGGCCGATCAATACAAGGAAAGAGAAAAAAAGAAGAACAAGAAACACCTAAATGCCAAACGGCGAACAAAACAAGAAAAAATGCATAACATCTTTTTACTCGGCGCCATCCATGCCACCATCTGCACCAGCGTCAGCCTCTGGCGTCGCCGCGTCAAAACCACAGTCGGTACGGGCCTCACGAGCCTTTTGACACGCTCCCTCGAAAGCAGCTTCGGTCACGATGCCGGCCTCCCACAAATTCTTATATACATCACATTGGGCCTCGGCAAAGACCCAAAGTTCGCGAGCCTGGCTGGAAGAAGCGGCTTGGTCCCGTAGGCGCTGATTCTCTTCTTCTAAGGCTGAGATCCGGTCCGCCATGACTTGGGCGTCCTGCTCAAGGACACCGATCCGCTCCTCGAGACTCGCTTCTCTAAAGGCCGCAGCAGCCCTCTCCAATGCCCGTTGGGACTCGTGCACGCGGATACCTTCCTTTAACGCCCCAGCCATCGATGAGGCGTCCCTCACCTGAAGCTTCAATACCGCGACTTCAACCTCCAACGCAGTCACTTTCCTGCTCCATGCCGCGGCTGCCTCCGCCGCCTTAGCCCGGCCCTGGCGCTCACACTCAGCTGCAGCCCTCGTTCCCGCCTCGAGCTCCTCATCCTTCCGACGGAGCTGCTCCTCGAGAGCACTCGTTCTGCCAAGTGGTTGCTGCACCTGAAGCTCCCGCCTCGCCAGTTCCTCGACCAAGGCCCGGCTACGGGGATCATTCCTCAAGAGCACGCGCATCTCTCGGCACCGATCTCGGTAGCGGCGATACTTCTCCAACACCCGCAAAAATATCCCCGAGCGGACGTTGGCTCGACGGATGCTCTCCACCTCCAAAAAATAA